CTGGGCGAAGAGCTCCTCTAGCAGCAGATGACCCAGCACATCAAAATACTGCGTGAAGACATCAATGATTGCATAAAGCGCATGATTGCAAGTGGTTGTCATCCATTCGGACTTTTCGGTCACATGCTCCGGTAGCTTCATATTGTCGAAGATCCGAAAGATGACATTAAACAAATCCTTCCACCAGTTTGGCTTGAAGCTATCCCCATGCGTTTTCACGATCTCAAAGAGCACGGTCAGGCCGCGTGTGCGGACATCCAGCTTGCACCGATTGACAACGCAGGAAAGCGAAAAAAGCATGGGAAACCAGCCGCGCACCCACACCCGATCCTCCTCCGCCACGGAGGCATCGTTCTCCATGCCCGCATGCTCAGCAAACAGCTGGGGCGCATCATGGACGCACTGGGCACAGTTGCGCACTAGGCGTATGGCCTCCATGCTAGTGTCCGGAAAGCGTGCATTGCACGCAAACTCTGACAGGCACTTGACGGCATCCTGGAAAGAGTCCACCATAACGGCAAATTGTCGCCGATAGAGCTCGCCAATGATTTTGCCCGTGGTCTGGAACGCCAGCTCCACAATTGGCTCCTCATGATCCCCGGCAGCTAGGTGAAATATAGAAAAGATGTTCTTCCAGCCAGATCTTATATTATGCGCCTACAAAGAAGAATTAAGTACGTGATTACGAAAATATTTAGAAGAGATAGTTGGTTACGAAGTTGGGATAATTACTTGAGAGTTGACCATCTGAGCAATGCAGCGCACGACCATGTCGCGTATTGCCGGTGAATTGTTCTTCTTCATGATGTGCTCGAAGGGACGTAGAAAATCCTTTTGGAAACGAAAGTTGCTAAATTCGCCCTTCTCCATGAACTTCATGGATAACTGGCGCAGTGAGTCCAAAGCAAAGAATGCAATCTCCTCATTGCTATTGCAGCCGACGGTATTGAAGTGCTCGCCAAGCACCTGCCAGATGCGTGACCATTGCAAACGAATGCGCTCCATGTTGTAGTAGCTAATCTCGACGATCTTCTGCAGCGAGAACATTCGCGGCTGCGTCTGCTGCAGTTCATCTACAGACACCTGGCACAGCGCCTTCACAAAGTCCACAATGGCATCGCCATCGAGACGCATGGAGCCAGTAAAGATGCGGTCGACAGCCACAACAACGCTCTGGCTGCTCGTTTCGCCAATGTGTTCCTTGACGCTAGGATTGAGCGTATCCTTGAGCGTGGTTTGTGAACCGGACAAAAACTGCGGCCGCACTCCAGTGCCAATGAGCTGCGCCAGCTCCAGCTGGCTAATGCACTTAACTATGTCTAGCCAGCTACTGCCTAGATAATTGCCATCAGTATGGGCGACCATGATGAGCGTCTTAATGGTATCTATATTCTTGGCCTTCATCTCATTAATTGGCGAATTTGCGTTTAATAAGGTGAAGCGTGCCAGCGCCTGAACATAGGCATCCCGTTCCAGAGACATGTGGAAAATGCACGCAATGCGAATTGCGCAGCGTATGCCGTCCAGACAGAGAGTAGCTATCTCTGGATCATCGCAGACCTGCAGGCCCACAGAAAAGGCGGCCAGAAATGGTGTCCAGGCCATTTTGAACATTGGACGCACATGCTCCAGATGCTTGGCCGATGTAAACGGCGATTTTACATGCGATACAGACTGCATCAGATTGGTAGCTGTCAGGGAGATGACCTCCATTTCCATGTTCCACAGTAGTTTGCGTCGCTTCTCCGTAATGAAGGGCTGTTTTCCTGCTGGCTTTGGTGCTATGAGCATTGTTGTATTGTTCTTCATTTTAATCTCATGCTCGGCAATTTCATCGTAGATAGAGGACAAATATTCCTCGGGCAGATCATCTTTGCTGTCGCTAATGCCGCGATTCATTTTTATGTACTGCTCCTTGGTCATCTTGTGCTTGACCTGCGGGGAATGAAGATCCGTGGTCAGCATAATAATGCTAAAGGCGAGCACATAAACTGTGTCAGCGCTCTGGAACAGCTGATTCTGTGGATTGCATTCGCAGTATCTGCTCGCAAACTTCTCCATCAGTCGATCAATCTTTTGCGCCTCGCCGGGCAACCGGAATTCCTCAAGAAGTATGCGCAGAGCGGCCACTACTTCCATCTGGCGAAAGTCAAAGGCATCGATATATGCGCACATCACCTCCTTAGAGTGATCATCGTTCTCGCCCAAATAATTGCCAATGACGGTTTTGTCCAGGCGTTCGTCATCATGCAGCCAGCGTGCAATATCCTGGCAGCTGCTGCCCAACAGCTGCTTCTCCTGCAGAAATTGCACACCCTTCTGGGGCTTACGGTTGAACAGCTCAATTCCCGTCTCCATGACCTCCTTCCGCATCTTACGCTCCTCCAGCGCCTCAGGCAAATCCAACAGCTCTTGATTCTTAGCGCTGCCGTACGAGTTAAGGCTATGACTTGAGCCGCCGTGCGTAGAGCGTAGACTGGAATTCTGCGCAGATATCGCATCGGCATTATCCCCCGCTTGCAACTCCTGTGTGGTGGGTGACTGCAGCGACTGGACCTGCAATGGAGATCATATAATTTCCAGTATTAAACAACTTTGCTTATTTAACTTACTTGCAGTGCAGGTGTCGGCATATTGGGATTCACATAGAGATCCTTGCTCCACTCGACCATACACTTCAGTATGGACACAAGGCACTCAAGTCCGCGTTTACGCATTGATTTCTCCTGCATGGGATTTGCGCCCAGTTCAAGGGCCTGCCGACCCTGCGCGATCTTCGAGAGATCGTTAACCAGTCGCTCAAACAGGTTGGCCGCCGAGAAATCACAATCATAGTTCACGTAAATATCCACGACCGACTGTGCATCGGCACAGATGCGCGTCAAAGCCTGTATAACCATCCATTTATGCTCAAAGGAGCTCGAACTGGCCTCCAGAATATTTAAGAAGATCTCCTTGAAAAACACCTCAATTTGACGCTTCAGATGCACCTTAAAGTTGGAAAGCAGCGCCACAAAAATGGAGAGCGACAACTCAAAGACCTCGGCCACCAGGCTGACACCATTGTTGGACAGCGCGACGCAGAGATACTGTTTGATTGCCATGATGAACATCTCATTGGAGCGGAAGACGGGGCCAGCATTTTGCAGTATCAGCAGCAGCAAATGCAGCGACAAAACCTTAGAGCGCAGCTCATGTGACTTGGGGTCGGGCTGACCTTCGGGCAGCGGCTTCATCGAGAGTTTGCATAACGCTCGGAACACCAGAAACGCATCCTTTTGCAATATGTGTGTGAATTTGGCTGTGACTATTGCATCATTCTCGCTATGCAACTCAACGCTATCATGATCCGAGTGCGAAGAATCAGCCGATCCGTTCCCATTGACAGATGCCTCCATTTCGGCCACATCCGGCTCTAGACTCTGTTCCTTCATCGCCTCATTGAAGGCAGCTAAAATATGAACATGGTTTAGCTTTAACTTGAAATGAATAAAACGAAACTATGTCAACAAAATATCGACTTATGGATGCAAGGCAATGATAATGTTGTCTACTACGCAGAAGACACAATTTTAAAAAAAGGAACCGGAAAGGGTCAAAATTGATCCTTAGTTGGAATAGCAGCAATCTACGTGAAGTTACTAGCAAAACATAAATAAAAACGAAGCGGCACAGGGCTTTTTTAAAATTTAATTTCTAGCAGCACTGATCAGCGCATGGCATGAACTTTTATAGATATTTTAAGCTTAATTTAGATCGGTGTGCAATGCACAAATAGAGCATCAACTCCACTCACCTGTTATTATCTCAGCCAGCAGCTCTGAGGCGATGGCTTCATCGCTGTCTGATATTTCTGTAGCCTCCGACGTCAGCTCCTCGCCATTGCCTTCCGGACTGGCTATGCAGTCATTTAGCGTTGTCGTTGATGGCGTTGGTGGCACCTCATAGACTTGATTCTCCATACGCGCAAAGATCACATTTAGCATCTGGGTGAGTGTGGCACGCGCCGTAGTCTGATTAACCAGATTCCTGCTGGACAGATATATGTCATAGCAGGTGCGCACCGCTTGCAGCAGCGTAAACTCGTGTATTTCGACGTGCTGTGATGTGACAACGGTAAGCAAAGCCTTAATGATCTGCAGCTGCACACCCTCATCCGTCTGGGGTCCATTGAAACAGCCATAAATTGTGATGACAATGCGATCGATGAGCAAATGACCCGGATTGGCCGAATCCTGAATGGCGCCCGTCAAATGCCCATAGGCAATTAACTTCTGTAGGCAATCCAGCGCAGTCACAACAATGCGCGGAGAGCGGCTCTTGCAGGCCAGTTCAAAGGGCAGGAAATAGGTTTCCGCATTAATAATGCTCGCCGCATCATTTTTGGGCAGCGGCAGTGCAGCGCAGGGCAGCTCATTGCCTTCGGCGATTTGGCCCGCATTGATGAGCTCCGCTTTGATCTGTTCGAGCGCCGTGTCGCAGGATTTCTTAAGCTGCGAGTGATGTGAACGCCGTATGTCCTTATCGGCAAGGATTTTCTCTAGAGCACGCACAATAAACATTTCCTTGGTTTTCGTGGAGTTATTTTGCATATTGTATGCAACTCCAAGGTCGTCTTATAGTTGTGGTTTTATTGCTTTCCTCTTTAACTAATTACCGTGAGTGAACGTCCGTCCGTCCGTGTGTTTGTATGGAGTGAGACGACAGTGCCAGCAACTTTTGCGCTGCCGCAACGGTGCGTGGTTCTGTGTTATTGGTGTTTGTTTCGGCTCGTCTGCTACACTCTGCACCCGTTGCGTGTGTGTGTATGTTATTTAATTGTTTTATGCGTTTGCATATTGCAATGTTTCAACTTTTCACATCAAATATGCTTAAAAAATACAATGCGTGAAAAAACGTCATCAGTACTGCACAACATTGCCAGACTGTTGATATATCGTTTCTATCGATGAGCGATTGTTTACATTCGATTAAATACGATACAATGTATATGCCATTCTGAGTTTACCGGGCTTAGTTCTAATAAATAAAATAAAATTCTATTGACTCATTACACGATATCTGCTGCACATCCTAAAAATTTGTCCAACATATATGATTGACACGTGTCTGCTACTAATATTATATCTTAATATTGATAAAAATTTTCTAAAATATTTTTTTAATAGATGTTTATGTACTATAATTGCCACTCTTCCTGTGTGCAATCCGCCATTAAGAGCATGTTGCTCATGTGCTCACCCATGAGTTTGCGATGCTGTGCGAATTCTTCCCCATAGGCTGTAAATATGCGAGCTGGTGGTATTGCCGAAGCCGGTATGTGCATATACTTTTTAGCCAAACTGTGAAGAAACGGATGAAACTGAGAAAGATCCTTCCATAACAGCAAGGGCTCCGTTTGTAAGCTGCTAATGTTTGTGCAAAAATAGCTGGAAATTTCATCCATGTTTTCGCTTTCACCATTCATAGTAATATGTTTGTGTTTCTCGTGGGAGAATGCCCTGTATGCCGCCCAAATGTCGTAACTTTCCGTGTTAGCTTCTTCGCCAGATTCGGCGGCAATAGCACCGCCCTTCTCCTCGTACAGATCGTACAGCTGTGTCATATATTTGGCCACCAGTGAGGCGCTCTGGAACGGCATATTGCGAAAGCGCGGATCCAACAGACTGGACAGAGCCAGTTGTGTATTCTTTTCCATTCCCTCAAAACGCTCCTCCAGAAGTCGAATGACAAATAGGCGAATGTCATACGAGACTTGATGCTGCTGCTCGGCGTTCTCCGGCTGCTTCATTTCGTTGAGCACGGTGTAAGCTATGGGCAGCGCATTGCTAGCACTAGGATATGAAACGATGCTTGAGCCGCACAATTGACGTACCGCACTAGCCAAAGGCGCTAGCACGGCAAGCAGCTCTCCAGCCAGCTCCAATTCACTGGCCGTCAGCATAAGCGCCGGATCCAAAGGCTGTACTTTCTGCAACTGAGCTGCGTGCCTGACATAACGTTCCAACATCTCGTAAGTGCTTATTGCGCGTCCGGTTACATCCAACTGAATCTGCGATGCGACCAAATTACTGCAGCTGCTAAGATGGTAAGCAACACAACGGCGCACCTTGTCACAGAGTGCACTAAACTCCTGCCGCTGCACCACTAGCTCAAACAACGTCTCCAGCAAATGAGCAAAGCATGGCACATGCCGCTGGCTACCCAGCAGGGAGGCGACAGCGTTCTCCAGCAAACGGCTGCTTCGACTCACAATACAAACGATTTTCGACTTATCTATGTCAAATCGCTGACAAACGCGCTCCAAACGCTCCACAATATTGCTGGCATTATACTGTGCTGGCAGCGCTTGTACGGAGAGTGTGCGTGCCCGACGATGCACGCCATCGTAATAATGGGCAGTCACCTCTAGGTAGCTGCTCTGCTGCTCGACCGTTGTGTTAATGGCGCAGCTTAGCGAAAGCGTTTGTAAGTGGGCAAAGTGTTGGCGCAACTGCGCCGTTTGCAGTTGTGCTTTTTGACCAATGTGGGCGCCCAGTTGATCAACGCTGGGCAACTGAAAGGCGGGGCAGAGCACTTGAGCTAAACGTTTGAAGCCCTCTCCCTGTATTATGTGCAGCGGCTGTTTGTCGCGGCACACAAAATAGGCCAGGCTGTCCTGGTAAGCAGTATTGTGAGACGTTTGGAAATTGCTAAAAAATAATTTAACTATACATAAATTACATTTACATGTGTTTGCGCGTAATTTACCTGACCATCAACTGCACTTCGGGCTGCTGTTCGTCTTGTTGCAGCGTTTGGTACAATGCGGCGGTTTGATCGTTGTGATCTTGTGCCTCCTTTGGCTCAAATTCAATAATGTCCTCAGCGCTGGCTGTCTCAGCGGCAGATTCTGTTTCAGCCGCAGCCCAATTGGCATAGGTTTCTTCATTTACAACGCTTTCAACGGCAGCATGGGCTTCTGCGTCCACCAGCTCGATAATGTTCACATCCATGTCGGGTCCGACTGGGTCGGCTTCTATTTCTCCCTTTGGTTCCGATTTTATTTTAATGGATGCATACTTGAGCATTTTTCTGCCACGGCTCTTGATGGGATTTGGCTCCCGTTTGAGCATGCCGCGCACCACAATAGAATCGTGGTCATTCACATCGCTGTAAACAAAACCGTCTGCGTTTAGTGCATGTACACAAATACTGATATGCTGGCTTACATTTGTGGATGGGTCTTCATGTGCTTCATCAGATTGGAGGTATTGCCGCAGGTTTTGATTATCTTCTCGCAAAGCAAACATTGTGCTGTTTGAAGATTTATTTTATCGTAGTATTTCCAAATTTTACTACGCGCCATTATTGGTTGTCTACGTTGTTTAGCATCGATTTCTGAATATACAATTGTATCGAATCGTTTGGAATAAGTTCAGTGGGGTGGTTCAATTGAGCGAGCGTGGAACTCCTTAATGCTCGTTCATTTAGTTCCTTTTCCTTGGTCGCTTCGTTCATATGACTGCCATTCTAGTTCGAAGAAAATGAGCAGAACAATTTAATAGTTCCCAAAGACTTACTGAACTAAAAATTAGTTCTATTGTGTTGATAAGTCATATATTTTCGACGCTTATTACTAGACTTATAATATTAAAATATTGATTTTGAATTTTTAGAAGCTATATGAGATTACCATTTTTTGTATACCTTTTGACAAAATAAACGGGCTTTAAATAGTAAAGGTTTTGCGATATGCATTCACATGCCATAGCAAGGCGCTGGGTACAGGGTATCTTATGGCCAGCATTTTAAATTTAAGATATAATAAATTATTTTAAAATAAGATTATTTAATTTAAGTTGAAATTTGATGCCAGTCGGTGATTAAAGATGAGCGTATATCCCTTTGGCTCTGACAAATAATTCAAATGTAGTCCACGGGCAGGATCATTTAATTATTTGATCCTGCCCGTGTATATGATTTGTTTGGTAAACTGACAGCAAAAGCACACTTGTGCACTTCCATTGTGCACTCATGCAGCGAATAATGTACAGCTAAAAGTATCATTGCCATAGCCAGTAGCGAGTAACGCCCCACTATGCATGGGACGCTCAAACATAGTTTTCCGAGCCCGAATTTGACAATGATTTTGATTGTCTCTCGAATTTCAAAAATATGTCTTCGAGCGTACACTCATTTACAGAATAATACTCGACTAGATCGCTTAGACTATCCCCCAGATATTGGTCTGCTATCTTAAATACATTCGACCAAAGGATGTGATCCTCTGTGCGTACAAAATAGGTTAATGTGCCAGCATGATTCTCTCTTAAGTCCAAGTCCTCGAATTGTCCCTTTAGAGTGTTGGTAATAGTCGACACATTTGCCTCCGTCTCCGTGTCGATTTTCATTTTTAGTTTAATGGTAAAGCCGCTGAGGCGCTTCAAAGCACAAATGTTGTTCAGGCATTTGAATTTTCCGTTCGCCATGATGGCCAGTCGATTGCACAACTCCTCGCACTCATCCATACTGTGTACAGGATTTACAGTAGATGTTATAAAATGAATGATTGACATGCGATTCAGTATAACTCACCTGTGCGATGTGAGCACCACCGTTCGATCCTGCGCCAGGAAATCCTTAATGCATTTCCACAAAAATCTTCGCGATATTGGATCCACGCCCGTTGTCGGCTCATCCAGTAGCACCAGCGATGGTGCGCCGATCATAGCCATAGCTGCCATCAGCTTACGTTTGGTGCCACCCGAATAATTGCACACCGCCACATGGCGATATTTAAGTAAATGCATTTTATGCAGCCAAAAATTAACGCTATTTTCCAAATCCCCGGGTTCATTGCCTCGCCACCTAAGACCACGCAGCAGCGCCATTAATCGCAAACATTGCTCGGCGGTCATAAATTGGTTGATCGCGTCGTTTTGCGGGCAATAGCCAAACTGCTGGCGATAGGCCACCTCGTTGAGGCGTATGTCAATGCCCTTGGTTCGTATATGCCCGCTATCCACAGTTTTATTGGCCGCAATCATTTGGAAGGTGGTTGTTTTGCCTGCACCATTAACACCCAGGAGTCCAAAGCATTCGCCACTCATGGCAGCAAAACTGATGCCGCTGACAGCCGGCTTGCCGGCATAGCTTTTGCGCAGATTGCTCACAATCAGGGGATAATCTTCTGACGCCTGTTGCGCAGTGCCATCCAGCAGCTGCTTTACATGCTGCTCCTCGTTGACGCAATCATTGATGCAGTCCAGCTCCTGGTTCGAATTGCCGGTCTTCGGTGGTATCTTACAGGTTTTGCCATAAAAGAAGTCTTTTAACTGCCGGCGATAGTACTTGTGTTCCAGCACAATAGTAAAGAAGCCCATAACCAGGGTCAAAACAGTTAGAGCATACGCAAAAAATTCGCTGGTGGTTTCCGGGGGATTCTTCGATTTACTTCGCTGTGCTAAAAGGTTCTCGTTTATGATGCGCAGCTGATGGTTTAAATTGAAATCGGGCAAAAAGCGTAAAAATGCGATCTTTGTCCCGTGCAGCTGCATGGCCTGAATATTGCTGGAGGTGATTAGTGGCGCAATTTCTGCGGGAAAAGAAGAAAAAAAAAATCATTTTTTGGGGGTACCGAAGATCAAATACTTTAAAAAAAAAAGGACACAAAACTGATTTACTTGCAACGACTCCAAACAAGCTGCTAATTTGATTTTGTTGGCTTAAAATATATATCAGCTTGGGTTATTAAATAATGTTCATTTATACCTTTAAAATATAATAAAAAAAAAACCATATAAAACATATTCATAAGTGAAAACATGCATACTTAATCACTCACTATGGTAAGTTAATAGCTTTAAGTAAAAAACATATTGTTATATTTATGCAAATATACCAATTAATATATTATATTGACAAAAAGGAAAAAGCACCTCAGCAAGATTAAAATTTTTTTCCCGATCGCTTCTAAGCTCCACAAACTCCGCAAGCTTTTAAGGTAATCTGTGTCCCAAAGAATATTAAAATTATTGTTGATTACTCACCTGAAACGTTAAGCATAAGCAGCAGATATGTTGAAATTGTTGATATGGATTGGAAATTATTCCCAAGAGCGTACATGATGGGCAAATAGCTGCAGCCATAAAAGAATATACTCATGACTATCAGCTGCTGCTCCTCGATATTATACAGTTCGGCGGGCATTATCATTTTCTGGACCAAAAACAGTAACAGACAGACCAGGGCATGCAATGTCATATCAAACACAAACGTGGCACACCAATATGTGTAGCGTGACATGGGCTGCAGTTGACGGAAACCGTTGGCATTCTCTCGGAACGGCAATGCGACGTAGTAAAACATGCTGAAGAACATCGCGGCCGATACGATGACCACATAGTACTCGAGCCGTGCAGCACTGATGTCGCTCACGAAATGCTTCATGGGCACATAAGTAGTATCGATATATGCTTCTGGCTGCCGGCTGAGCAACTGCAGCATGCAAGTGTCCAGCATATTTACGAGCATGACGCTGCTATGGTAGCGATTGCTTGCCCAGTATACCTCTAATACAGGCGTGTCACTGGTGCTGCGCTCCTCAGCGATCATTTCAATTAGGCCAACGGCATCCTCCAGGAAATAAGGCAAATTATCGCGCTGCAACTGCAGTAACTCTGGGGTAAGGATAATGCGTTGCATAAGCTTAATTTATGACAGATATTTTGGTATATTACCTTCTCTCACGCTGTTGTTGCCGCGCAATGTGAGCGTCTTGTCATTCAGACCACTCTGTTGGATGTACTGACGCAGCTGCAGCTCCAACTGGTCATGTTGATTCGTTGGATTGTAAATGTAGACACTGCCCGTACGTAGCTGGCTAAGTTTTAGCGGCAATGCCGTCTCATTGGTAACCACGGAAGAATAATGCATTAGCAAAATAGCGCATGTGATTCCCAGAATAGGTAAGATCAACTGCAATAAATAAGGGACAAATAATTATAATAATATTTATAATTCAAGTTAATAATAGTACTGCAGAGTTTTGAATAACCACTCAAATAAACCATAATCTGCTCAACAGCACTCTATCTAAGCATGAAAATTAAATTTATATCTACTTATATTTTAAGATCAGAGCGACAAGTCGAATCAGTCTAGACAGATCCGCTTGTTTGCCTTTTAACGCATCGATGTCGAAGACTATATGCATTGTTTGTCCAGCACTAATAACTGAAGACACCAACATTTGTGTTTCAATTGATGCTAAGCATACAAAGATAAGACATTGTTTTTGATACCTTCGCCAATAATTTTGTGAATGATAACGAGAGTTATTAAATAACAATTTGGGGTAATAGCTTGCAGCTTGCAGTGTGTCTGCTTGACAGTGTTTGAGTATATGTGTATGTAAGTAAACATATTGTTATAAATTGTTTTTTGCCTCGCAGCCTTATCTACTTGGTCAGGAAAAGGTATCAGGTTTTTGTTTTGCTATCTTTATCGTATTCTCAATGAGTTACAGCTTCTGATTAAGGACAGTGCCTTACAAATTTAACATCGATAGCAAAGTCAGCTATTATTAGCTACATTTGTTTTATAGTTGTGCATTAATACTACTTATAGAAAGAAGGTGTTAATTTGCTTACCATGCAGACGGCATAGAGCCACTCGTTAAAAAGGAATGTTGATTTTTTGTAGAAAATTGCAAGCCACAGCTGCCAGTAAGGGGTCTCAATATGTCGCAGTCGTTTGTATTGAACAGCCAAGGGTGGCGCATTATTGTGGGTACCAATATCCGGTGTATCCACTTGATCATATTCCCCAGCACAGCTAAAAGGGAATGATATTAATGTCGAGGTTATAAATACAGGCCCAAAGGAGCACTCACTTTAGAAACACAGTCTCCAGTGAGGTGTCTGCAATCGAGATCGTTTCAATGCCCAGTTTATACTGATTTTTCTCTAAGTTTCGTAACATGTCATGAAATTGCAGGCGATAGTCATATGGTAGGCATATATAAAGCGTCGGCTTTACATAATTCTGTGTACAAAAGAGTTGATAATGAGTCTAAAGATAACAAAAACAGAAATATTATCATCAATTAATAACCTCCTCTTTAGCAGTCGGTATAAATTTCAATATCTCTTTCATTGTTTCTTCTTTCAGAAACAGCGTCTCATGGGCCTGCAGCTTTAAGCGATAGCCACTGCCCGATTTACGTTTAAGTTCAAGCGGCGAGCCGATCGCCTGTAGCTTGCCGTTGGCCAGTATGCATATGGTATCACCTAGCACCTCGGCCTCTTCCATATAATGTGTAGTCACTAAAATTGCCTTCTCTTTGCGCAGCTCCAGCAAAATGTCCCAAAGTTCTCGACGTGATTCAATGTCCAGGCCCGAGGATGGTTCGTCTAGGATCACAATTCTGTAAATAAAAAAAAAAAAATCAGTCTGACAGAACGACAGTTGCAGTATACCAGATAAATTGCTGCTGAAATATTAAAGATAAATTTTTGCTACTAATACCACTTAATTAAAAGGATGCAATCTTTAGAATTACAGATATAACAGTTATAGCTACGAACGTATGTATATTTTTTGTAAAAACATTAGCTATTAACAACTACTAACTTGGTATTCCCCGCAATTGCAATTCCCAGCGACAGGCGCCTCTTCATGCCGCCTGATAAATTGCGACCATATTCATTGGCCTTGTCTTTAAGGTTCAGCTTGCGTAGCTTAAGTTCTGCCCAGTTGCGTGCGTCAGAGAGCTTGGCGCCGCGCAGCTGTGCGAAAAATTCCAAATGCTGCTGACACGTCATGTAGCTCATGAAGACGCTATGCTGTGGACAGAAGCCGATTAGGTGGCGATACGAGGCAACATCACGCTCGCTGCAAACAACAATCTTGCCCGCATCCTTAGGTACAATGCCTAGAAAATTAAAGAGAAGAGTAAAAGTAAGAGTTTCACAATTACAATAGACATATTAACAGGACTTTACATTTTGTTAAGTGACAAGCTAAAGCAAATAAGAGAGCAAATACATGACCGCAAGCCAACGTACCCATAATCATGTTCATCATAGTTGTCTTTCCGGCACCGTTGTGGCCCAGTAGTACTGTGATCTCCTTGTTGTTGATTGTCATATTTAAATGATCAGCAATGTGGATTTCGCGTTTGCTCGTCTGGAATTTCTTGCAAAGATCACTGATGATGATTGCATGGGTGCCACGCGGCGATGTCGTGTATTCATTGCGCTGACGCTTTTTATATGTATCGGGCTGAACATGACAGGAAATGTAGTAAATTTATGGCAGCATAGCTTGTAGCCAGAATAAGAACTTACATTAAGAATAAATAAGAATGGGCGCTTGAGACCGCCAGGTCCGGGAAATACGCACACCAAATAGTTGTAGAGCAAGGCGTAAAAAACGGTCTGAGAGATGAGCACAACATAAACAGTAAAGATACGACTGGAGTCATCTTTAATAAGTCGAAACAAATCGGCGCCTTCAAAGTCGCGATCTGTAAGAGATTTCGTTGCGAAAGAAATATTTTATTGATTGTCGAAGCTTAAATCCACTTGCACTTTTAGTTGTATCCAATAAATGTACGAAAATAAATGTTTGGGTTAAATTTGGATTGTAAACTCAATTTGGGGGGCCTAAGTTATATATTCGTCAAGATGTGGTGTGACTCCAGAAGACATTACAAAATTTAGGTTTTCGTTAATATTTCCTTGTAGAAGGTATTTCCATTTTGTCATGAAATGTGGAACTCATAGAAGGAAATATTTCCGACCCCATAAAGTATATATATTCCTCATCAACATCTACAGCCGAATATAGCCATCGCACTCTCTCTGTTAATATGCCGGATTGGATAAATATTGCATATAGTTGTCATAGCAATCGGTCGTAAGGTAGTATCTTGACTAAACCTGGCACTTAACTACTAACTATGCTGCTTATATTAGCAATATTATATTGCATAGCTGTACAGAAAGAATCAGTCGAAGAATTAGTTTTTGCATGCGAAATTATTCAGTTTTGCCGTTAGGTAAATGTCTACAAGTATATTAAAACATCGGCGTTCCAAAGATATCGTGTTGGTAATTACGGTTATAAAGTCTGTGATTAATTAAAAAAAACAGCCGCAAGGGATAATATAACTGCAACTCACGTTTATTGCAGAAGGTCTGCAGCACATCCAGGCCCTCCAAAAATGAATTGGTGCAAAACAAGAAAAATGCTATATTAGTAAGCAAACTGTGTACAATACTAAACACGTAGGGGATAACGAGCAGGATAAGTCCACCGATTTTAGCGTAAAACACTGCAAGATAAAATATTAATATAAATGAGTACAAGAACCAAGCACATATAAAGAAGCGCAGCTTACCTGAAGAAAAGCAGACTGATATTAAATAGGCATACGACATATTTGCCACAATGTACAATAAATACAAGGTATATATATAAATAAAGGGAATCAGTCCCAAGGCGCCGTACTGCCAGGCGATAATTAGGCTTAACATCAGGAATGTTGCATAGAAAACAATACGTATTAGAAAAAATGTGAGGCCGTTCAAAAAGCTCATGGGTGTGACCAGATTAAGAAACTCCTTTAGGCCATTCTGTTTCTCTTCGACGAAGGGCACCAGAAATGTGCTCAACAACATAATACTAAATAATATGCTAAATAATGTGCCGAAATTAATCAGGCGAGAGCTGTCCGAGTTGCCAACCTCCAAATTCGGCATGACATTCAACAGCAGCTCATAGTTGTCATTAATTTGCTGATAGCGCAAAAACTGACGGTCAATAACATACTGAAGAGTGAGAAATCCCTCACGAATATACTCATCGTCATCTGCAAAAGTGTGAACGATATCGTGTAAACAATAATCATAAATGTTGTCTAGCTGTATACGCACTCTTCAGATGATTAATTTCCTCGTCATTTACAAAGCGTTTTTTTGGCGAGTTTCGCATTTGATTTGAGTAAAGACTGTATTTTAATCCCCACCCACTTCTCGGGTCTGGCAATGCTTGGAAATTTATGGCAAAACAGCTTCCTTTGCACTGTCGTTGCATATCCAATTCCATTTCCACGCTATTGTTGTACTCTCGCATGCCTAAAAAATGTTCGGAAATCGTATAATGTTATGTTTATAAAAATAGAAATAGTAGTAATCTTACGTTCATATGGAATTTCTAATTCTTGCCTCACATGTTCCATTAGTGATGCCACATTGTTCGTATTTGGCCCATAGTATATCCAATCAAACTCATTACCGGGAAAGTACAATGCCTTAAGTGCCACCTATAAACAAAGAGTATTGTTATAATTAGTAAATAAAAGAAGTTATAATCAATACTCACATAATCTTTGCTCTCGAACTCTTCGCTTTTGTATAAGTTAGACTTGTTCGACCAATGCAAATAACTAAATAGTACTCCTGTCCATAAAAACCAAATGATGATCAATGGTATCCAGTTGTACTTCAAATATAGAAAATTTTTATGCCAAAACACATAAAACAATGAACAGCTACACGCCATTGTTGTTTTGTTTTTTGCACTTGTTTGCTCTAAAGTCTTCTAGTTTGGATTATTTGGCCGTCCTATGAAGACGCCAACACCAATGTGTAAAACTAAGCTTTTTTCATACGAAAAGTTTAACTTTCCTTTGTATATATCTTTGGCTTAGGGAGTAGCCAGACAAATCTCGGTGGTGATAAGCAGACGTCCGAAAGTATGGGTACTTAGTCACTAAAAATTGACGTCTGATGATTGTACCGATGTAACAGACTATCGGTTAGTAGTAGGCTACGTAGGCATTGTGTGCCTATCGATTTTAACTCGTACCATCGCTATTTCGTATTTTTAGTATTTTTGTCTGTCAACAACTATTTTTGTTATAATCTTGGAATATTATGAGCGCCCCTACAATATTTCCTATTAATATAGAGAAGCTCACGGCCAAGGAGCGTCACAATTATATTCTTAATCAATATGTGTTGCCCACAGCTGCTGAAAATGAATCGCGCAACCATAAACGTGACATTGATGTCATCCGTGAAAACCATCGTTTCCTTTGGGACGAAGATGATGCTGATAATGGGTCGCTGAGCTGGGAACAGCGCTTGGCGTTACGCTATTACCGAAAATTATTCAAAGAGTACTGCATAGCCGATCTCACGCGCTACAAGGACAATAAAATAGCTTTGCGCTGGCGCACCGAACAGGAGGTCGTCACCGGCCTGGGTCAGTTCCAGTGCGGCAGTCGGCACTGCGGCGAGCGTGAGGGCTTACGCAGCTGGGAAGTCAACTTTAAATATATTGAGCAAGGTGTTCCGCAAAATGCACTAGTCAAGGTAGGCAACAATAGCACATCACAATTATCGTCGTGCTACCAAAGATTATATCGTTTTTATGTCGACTATGTGATATAGATATAGATCTTGTCCCATTCAATTCATAAACATTTCGTGATTTGATGGCTATTAAATGTGTGTCTAAATCATTACTTTCTGCAGGTACGTCTTTGTCCCGTACATACAGAGCAGCTAAACTACCGAACGAAGAAAAGGGAGCACAAACGCCAGCGGCGCAGGGAGAAGGACGTGCGAAAAACCGAACGAAATCATAAGAAACGCAAACTGGATAAAAAGGATCAAGAGAGTGAAGAAGTGGAAGAAGAACAAGAGCCGCAACATGACGATGCAGCCACAAGCGGTGAAACTGCATCGGAGAAACCCGACGAAACTGTGGACGAGGACATTTGGAGCAAACAACTGGATCTGAGCAAGGAACAGCCGTCGCGTGAACAGGAATTCGAACGTTATTTGGAGGATCTATTATTGTAAAAGTAAAAATCGTTTCCAGTAAAAAGTCAAAATGTTTTGGTTTGAACTGCACTTTTGTAAATACAATAGCATTATCTTTTATTAATGCAGAGCTTATGCTCTTCTATGGCTATATAGCTACCTACTGCACTTTGAAGACTTGTACATAAATATACATACATTTACATTTATACAATCAATACTCAAAAGTATATACAGTGAAAGCCCTGCTATCCTATGACTTGTTATTTTTTTCTTTAAATTTATCTCAAACAATACACAAATTATGTAAAATTAATTAATTTAAAAAAACGTATGAAGGAATTTAGTAATTCTTTCTCTTATCAGGAAAACATAGTTGACCGTATTTGTCCGCCCAAGAGAGCTTTCACTGTATATACATAAATAGTATGTTAATATATTGTTAAACACCAACACCAAAAAGTTGAACTGGACATTAAGGCTGTGACTTGTTTTTGAAACAGTTATGAAATTACGAATACAATTGGACTCTCATATTTTAATAACTAAATTTGTAGCATCGTTCATAGACTTGACGTCTCTGCCTCCGTCATTTGAAAAACACCTCGTTAGCTATTGAGCCTGCGGCAAGAGGTCGGCGAATGCCTGCGGCGGTTTAAAGTCACGCACTTCGGTGAACACGAGCTCCTTCCATTTCTCCACCGGTAGCTCGTTCTCCTCAAAACTTTGATCGTACAGTGTTGATGTCGCCTCATCGCTGGGATCATGCCATTTCTCCATATAGGGATGTGCCAGCGCCTGTTCAGCAGTAATGCGCTTCTCCGCATCTAGTTCCAGCATCTTCTCAAGCAAATCAATAGCTAGTGGATTGGCACCCCGAAAAATATCACGGAAGTTGCGGCGCGGCATCACCGGCAACGATCGTATGTAGGTGCGTGCGCTCTCCGATGAAATCTTGCTCATGAACTCGTCGTTTGGCGTGCCCAATATCTCCATGATCAGGTTCAGCTGGTGTATGTGATCAGTGCCCGGGAAGAGTGTACGACCGGTCAAAAGCTCTGCCATAATGCAGCCCACAGACCAAATGTCCACCGTCTGATTGTAGTGCATCCAATTGAGCATGATTTCCGGAGCGCGATACCATCGTGTGGCCACATACCCGGTCATTTCGCTCTCGGCGGGTCTCGCAAGACCGAAATCTAAAATACGCAGCTCGCAATCTTCATTCACAGCCAAATTCGATGGCTTCAGGTCACGATGTATGACGCCAGCGCTGTGTATATACTTCAGCCCGCGCAGTATCTGATAGACCAAGAACTGCACATGCTCGTCGGACAACTTCTGCGTGCGTATTATATTATTTAAATCGGCGTCCATCAGATGCGTCACCATGTAAACCTGCTGAAACTGCTCTAGCGAATCTGCTGGCTGGCCCGGATGGAAGACGTCAAGCAGTCCGATAACGTTCTCGTGATCCATGTGCTTTAGCAGACGCAGCTCGCGGTATGTGCGCTTCGCATGCACTGCCGATTGAAAGGGGCGGGCTAATTTCTTAATAGCCACCTTTGTGGTGGTGCCTCGCACCAAAGCTTTGCACACCTGGCCATATGCCCCCTGTCCAACGGACTGGAGATTTTGGTACGTTTCAGGTATCTCCCATTCGGTGCGATTAATGTCAAGTTTATAGAACTTCGGCATTTTTGTTTTGGTGGATTTGATTGTCGCTTACGCCCCAAATTACTGAAAATCCCTTTGCTCTTTATGACCAAAAAAAATTTCACGTATTCAAGAAGAAGCAGTCTGCTTTTAGTGATGTAAGAAAACAACGATGCAACAATTTATCGATAGTCTGATGCTACGATATTTTTCTTTTGGTAATAAGCCAATCGATATCAGCGATAAGCTGATTGTATCAGCTGTTAGAATTAAGCTTCTTCAGTTTCAATTTGTAAACTTTGCGCCAGGCCCCATCAGCTGTGTGAATCAAGCTTTCAGTTTCAATCGGTCGTTTGTGAGCGCAGCAACTCAAGTGCGGACTACGCTACTTCGAGCTTGAACGTTTTTTGCACGAGTTTTTTCCTTACGTATTTATTCATTGACAAAAACTCGAGTTGCGTTCCGTATGTGTGTGTGAATGCGCGCGTTTGTGAGGCCGTCTTTTGCGTGTATTGTGCGAATGTGTGTTTGTGTGTGTGCAGCTCCGGCTTTAGGCTGCTTTACAGAATACATTTTTCGCAATTAATTTGAATATTATATATATGATTAATTAAAAAACACTAACAAGATTTTAAAACTCACACTAGCCCTGTGTTTTGTGTTCAAGCGCAACAGTTTAAAAAAACAAATACACACAAACACAAAAGAAACACTTATTTAAAAATAAAGATCCTTTCAAAATATCGCGCTAGACCCTTATAGTGATCGGCCATAGGGGGCGCTGCAGTTGCTCCCAACCAAACGGAAAATAGCGGGTGAGCCTCAAGAACCGTTGCACCGAAACAAAATGGCCACGACAGCGGCTGCCGTGGCAGCCACCAGTGTCGTCGTATTGGATCGTGGCAATAATACGACATGCACAATCAACTTGCATGGTAAGCGTGTGTCTGAATGTGTGTGTGGCTTTAAACCAATAATTAATCATAATTAACCAAAACATAATAATACGCGAAGCAACAACAATTCGCAATTAATATTTTCGGTTTTGGTGTTTCGGAGCTTTTGAAAAAGTTGTTGGCGTTATTTTTAGCGCATGATTAGCAATGCTGTTTTTTTTTTTATTTTACTGTATTTTTGTGTTAAGCATTTTATGGACTTTCGTTTTATTGACTTGAGCCGCGTTCGCGCTGACGCTCGACAATTTATGCAACCCATTGAGGTTATCAGAGATAATACACAGCGGGAAAAATAATGGGTCAAAGTTAAGTTCGACTGAACTCGAATCAAAGTAAACAAATTTTGAAATCAAAACAATTCACACAAAAAAATATAGATAAAGATCAATTGTAATTGATTAAGCCATTTTTCACTTGGTTTCAGAATGTATCTTTCTCAAATCCTTCTCGACTCGACCTATATAATGTAATGTCAAATAATAGCATTTGCTTTCTGTGTACAACAATAAAGTTTACTTACTTAAGGTTAAGTAACCTTGCTTATAGTATGCTAACTTTGTTTTGTTCTCATTCCAATTCGACTGCGTAGCCCGCTCAAGTGATTGTCGTAGTATCTTATCAGCATTGTCCAAATGATCTAGCTACGCTCTATATCTCTCTCCCTTGGGGATATGCGCAACTAGACGGAAAGCGGCTTGTTGAGAGATCGTCTGTGTCTGTGTACGGCCCCTACTCACGACACATTTCGATTAGGCGTTATATATGTATATATATATATATACATATATATATACAACGTACACATACATATACATATATGTGTGTACAGAGCGCACTTTCAACAATTACGACTCGTTCGCCCTGCCCACGTTGTGTTTTTGACGTGGTTTGAGCCACAGCCAGACACATTTGCCACCACAAAATGCGATCCAACTCTGGCAAGTCTTGTGTGCGCTTTGCTCGAGTCAAACCTTAAACTTTGGCTAGTCTTTTTGATTTCCGCTTGGCTTACACTATATTTACTTTTTCTAAAATTTGAATTTGCAGCTAGGCCTATGCGCAAAACTCTAATTGTAAACGCTGCTTAGACGTCAGCAGGCTTGTGGCCAAAAACAGGCCCAGTCTTACACACACAATCACACACAAACACCCACACGCAGCTGTGTTGCTCCCACCCAATAGTCGAATGGCCATTGGAACTGGGAGTCGGTCTATTGCTCATTCTCCTCACTTTTAGCCGGTTTACTTAGACTTTTCTCTGTCTATGTGGGTTAGATTTTTGCATGTATATATATATATACATATATATATATATATACATGTTGCGTGTGTGTGTGCATTCATCATGGGTGACAATATTTAAATTCAGTCGTAAATTTAATAATGTGTCGTAAATAGAATGTAATGTAAACGAAAATGTAACCCAGGTGCAACATTAACAAAATGTAAAAAGCGTTTCAAATGCATATGTTAAAATAACACTGTAAACAATGTAAAGATCTTACAAATGATAAAGTGACACTGCTAATGTAATAGTTTAAAGAAATCTACATGTTGTTAAAATAAGAATACTTTTATCAAAACTTGTCATATACATATATATATATATATATATGTATGCATGATAAATGATTATTGTATTTTAAGCACACAAAAATAACTCGTATTAATAATCCTTTCTATTGATATGCTCAACATTAAGGCACTTCATACTGACTTCTATTGTTAATCAAATTTGCTTGTTTTTGTTTTTTTTTACAGGCGCCACAGTTGTGTCCTGGCGTGTTAATAATCAGGAACAGTTGTTTGTCAGGTAAGTTTTTAAATATTACGCATACGCCGCATTGGCGGAGGGAACCATGCGCTTTAAGCCCAAAGCGCACGGGCAGCCGTTTGAAGTTGAAGCAACTTACGCAAGTCCATCGTAACTAACGGTGTGCAACCAAAAAAGTGTTGGGCAAAAGTTTTCAACAATCGAACACATACAAACACAGAAGCACTAACACCCACACGTACACGCACATGCACACTTGGACGTTAGCTGGCCACAAAGGATGCCCTGCAGTATAAACAGGATGGGGTCTGAGCGGGAGCACGGGTGGGGTAAGGTAGCCTTAGACATTCCGTTTGGCGGCAAAATGTTTTTGTATGACACAGCAACAAAAACACGGCGAACCAGCGAACCAAAAAGAGACGAAGAAAAAACGCGCACTCAGCCAAAGAGAGGGCAGCGCCAGAGAGAACGAGAGTGAGCGAGAGCTTGTTGCAGAGAGCGTGCTGCACATGCACAAAACAGGCCTGCGGACTGGGCAGCTTTAAGGGCCGCTCTCTCGCTAGCTAGGCTTCCTGCTCTAACCAACGATAACGAAAAGACAAAGAACAACAACAACGAAAACAATGCGCTGGTTTTTATGAATGAAGTTTTTTGGCGCGGCATCTAGATCGATAAATCCCGACTACGACTACATGATGTGCCATGTACACTGTGCATTACTCGCACAGTGGCACAAAATCATTATACACATCAGTGAAATTGGCGTCTTCGCTGTTAGCAACAGCTTTACAAATGTATTCCAATTAGAAATCTTAAGCGTGAATGCTTTCAGGCACAACTTTGACTATTTATAGAAATCAGTGTCTTAAGAGCTTTATTTTTGTGTTCACACTGTTTGCTAAAGGTTTTTTTTATAATAACTTAAGGTTTACAAATTTATCAATTTAACAAAATTTGATCAATTGAATATTTTAGCAATTATTAACTGTCAGTTTCCTTAAAGCTTTTACTGAAATGAAAGTTTCTTACATATTTATTTAGCACCTATTTTCTCCCGTAGTTAATAGATTCTGTTGCTTTTAGGCTTTAAGCAACGTTTTTTAATGCTTAGCATTGCGAAAATATTTTTAAGAATTTAAGGACATGCATACAACATGTTTATAATAAATATATTGTATATTCCATAACATTTCGTAGGGTATAACTCTGTATGGCAATAATATGATACAGTTTTTTGTTAGCATACATCTTTTTTTGCTTAGATGTGCTTCGCCTGTTTGTCCGAATGTTCGTTACACATTGCGTCGCCTGTTTTCTTAAATGTGTTTTTTTATTTTCAAATACTTTTATTTTTGTTCGTTGGCGTTTGGAAACCGTGCAACAGCGACGAAGAACTCTGAAAATTGCAGCACAAAAACTGCTGCTAGTTGAGTTGAAGTTGGGTCTTGTGGCAAAAAGCAGGGACAAATTTTTTGCGTGCGAGCCAAAAGGAGCTGTACGTGGGGCAACAACTGTGGCCAGAACCAGAAACTAAAACAGAAAATCAGAGCAGGCAGCTGCAGCTAATGCTTAAAGAGCTGCCACAATAAATGCCACTTGGATAGATTCCACAAAATGCTGCACTGCAAAACTGATCCATTGCACAGCTACAACCTGACAATATTAATGACACAATTGCCCAGTCTCTGAGAAGAGGGCCAGAGTGCCAAAAGGGGGCCCCGTTGATGGATGCGTCGGCAAATTAGCGCACGCAAAAACTAAAAGGCGAACCAACCGAATCATTCAGCAAAAAGCAGCCAGCCAAACGCCAATTGCCAATTGCCAGACACTTTTTTGCTTGCATCCCCATCTCAAACTGAAGATTCAGAAATTTCTGAATGTCTACGCTGGTTTTTATGCAGCGGGTTCGTCAACTCATGAAAGATATTTTGTCAGCTCAAAGGCTTCCAACCCAAATTAATGGCAATCTTTTCGTTCTTTCCTTCTTAAGAGAGAAAACACGTTGCTTTTAAATTAGTTGCTTGAGATTTAAAATTTGAATCACTTGGAAATCAAGCAAGACGTATTGTTTTTAAGTATTCCAGCAATATTCAGATCACATTCAATTTGTTTGACAGAGGGCTGCTATGATTAAATAATTAATTATGAATTATAAAAAGATTTTGAGCGTGTTGAAATATATTTGAAGTATCTCTTGTTCTTTAAATTTTTTTTAGAAATCCATTGAGGCTTATTATTCCTTTTTAATTTGTAGTTCGATTTAGATTCATTTTAAATATTGGTTAAATATATTTTAACGAAATTTAGATTTTTTTATTTAAATAAAACAGAAGTATTTAATATACAAAATTTATTTCATACACTTGCAGTAAGCTGGCGTCGTTTGATGGCAAAAAGGCGATACGAGGTGGCATACCCTTTGTATTTCGTAAGTACAGATTCACATATGTCAATAGTACAATGCGTTACTCTTACTCAATCTTCCCTAATTTGCAGCTCAATTTGGACCCTGGTCCTTTGGACCACAGCATGGCTTTGCAAGAATCACGCGCTGGCACTTAGATCGCGCACCTGAACGCTTACACAATGGCGATGTGGAGGCAATTTTCTCGCTAATGGACAACGAGTTTACGCGATCTATATGGAACTATCAGTGGGTATTTCATGGGTCTATCAATACAACATAATGCATGTGCAAACACTTTAAAGATTTCGCATCACCTATCGGCTGATACTGCGCGAGAAGGAGCTACACTTTCACATTGGCGTCTATAATCCTAGCAAAGATCTGAGCTTTACATTCAACATGCTGCTCCACACCTATCTAAAGGTGCCAGATGTCCGACGCTGCCAAATAACTGGATTGCAGGGCTGTCATTTTATAGACAAGACACGCGAGGGTGCTTTGTATCAGGTATAGTTAGACGTATCTTCAGATAACTATATACTTAAACTGTGTATTTACTTTCAGGAGGGTCGCGAGGTAGTCACCGTCAATGAGTGGACAGATCGCATCTATCAGCATACGCCGCAGGAGCATGTGATTACCAATGTGGTATCCGGCCGTAAGATGAGGCTACACAAATACAACTTTCCAGATACGGGTGAGTTTCGAACAGCCTCTGTTAAAATGATGAATTTATGTTAATCATTTGCTTAACATAACATGCAATGTCTTTAAAAGCTTACCAATTTAACCAACTAAAAGGTCAACAAAATTTTGGATTTATTAAGATTTTCATTTAATGATTTTTGCCTCAAAACCATTTAATTTGCTTTTGAAAAAAAAAATGCCAATCTTTACTCACAGCTAGCCAAAACGCCGACCCTGAGGAGTTTCGCAGTTAATATATTTTTAATTCAAACAAATGCTCTACAAACTCACAATTTTTTAAATATATGAAATTCACCTAAAACAGTTCTTTAACAGTCGCTGCCCGATAACAATCACTGCCCGTTAACAGTCACTGATAATTCAGCCTTATTTAGTTAACATATCACCTCATTTGATAGCAGCTGTTAAATTTGTAGTAAACTGTTATGCGCTCATCTCTAAAACAGCTTTTACAGCGCGCCATAGCTAATAATTTTGGACGTTTTTTTTTTATATTTTCTGGTCTTTTTCAGTTATTTGGAATCCCTGGATTGATCGATCACGTGAAATGAGCGACTTTGGCGACGACGAATTCCCCAATATGTTGTGCGTAGAAGCTGGCAATGTCACCTCACCAGTCATACTGCTACCTGGCACCTGTTTCGAGGCCAGCCAGATACTACAGGTATTAATATACATTTATATATAATGCAAAGTGATATTATGTTTAAGCTAAAACTAAAATCATGCCCGCAGCAATTCAAGTGTCCCTATAATTTGCAGTTACCACCTGGCAAAGTAGAACAAGACAATGCCATGCAATTTGTTCGTGATTTGTATATTATGTAAAAAAATAATTAAATCTATTATTCTTTATCTATTTAGATCATCATCGAGGGCAATGTGAGTCGCAAGACCAAACGGAATCGCTAGCGTTTAAAGAATCGGAACCCGTTGAGGTAAACCGATTCGCAAAACATTTGACTGAGAACCTGAAGAGTTTTCGAAAGGCACAGCAGAAACACATACACATTAGGAACACTGTCAGCTATTTTCGATAAGTGTAAATCTTAAGTAACAAATCCACTAGCGCAATATTGAGACCCAAAAAAAAAAAAATTATTTAAATTTGTAATGGTTTGTAAACCTAGTGCTACATGCTATATATGCAAAACTTTATTAATCGCTCACATTGAATGGGTTCGTGTCGTGTCCAAGCTAATTATATGATAAACTAAATGGAAAATACTTAAAATACATATTAAATTGTGCATTAACTAAACTAAATGAGCGTTAGGCTCGCATAGGTAGTGTATCTAGGCTGCAGTCAACGTGGTTATGTGTATACGAAACGATTTATATATACTTTACTGCTTAGTTTTAAAATCGTCTTTGTGTAAAATACTAAAAAAAACAAGCTAAATAAATTATCAATTAATTTGTTCTATGTCAGTTTTCATAGTTATAGTTGATAATTAAAAATTAAAAAAAAAATATATATATATATAACTTTGTATGCAATCATTTATTATGTTTATCATCCGTGGGCAACCAGGAAGGAGATGCAGCTTCCATAAAATTATACATCGAATGAGTGATATTCCCCAAGATACGTTTTTTATCTGAAACATCACGTGGCTGTAAATGAAAATATTATATTTTTAATTAAATTATGAATCCACTTAAATAAATCGCGACTTACTTTATAATAATCATCGAAAAATCGAATGCCAATTACAAGTTGAAAGCCGACAACTCTCAGGAAAAATAATCTAATCAGTTTCAACATTATATGAACAGTTCTTAATGGATTGTTCAAGTAAAATTGCTAATCAAACCTACTCGGGCTGTTCAATGTAACTGTTTAAATATGCTGCGCAAAGCTTCTATATATCTGAACAGAAAGGCGCAGTTCTTGGAAAACAGTCTATAACAACTGCACATCTGGCAGCCCAACTTTTGATTATAGCCTCAACATTTTATTGTTGATTTCCAGCTGTTAATATCACTTTAACAATAGTGGGAAAAATTCAAATCACTCCTAGATAATCTGCATTATTTTCCTTAAAAAAGTAAAAGTGTCAAATATCTAAAATATTACTAAATAACAATCAACAAAAATTCCCCCCAGGATAAGACAACTACCTTTAATTGCGCGACTTTGACATTGCGCTGTTCTTTAAAACACGAAAACTAATTACCTAATTACCTAATACCTGTTCAACGACCAAGGGAAAAATCCTCAAATGTACCGTAGATCGTGACATTCCAAGTTATAAACGCTTTGGCGTCCCAGTAAGAACTGATAATGGTAAGCAGACGAGTGTAAATAGTGGAATGTTACGCTAATTTCAATAGCACATAAACAAATATTAACCAGCGCTTTAAACTAACCTAATTATTAATGCTTATTCGCAGCACTTAGTTAACAAATCGCAGTAAAATAAATGTACTTTAATCACTTGGTCGCAATCTATACTTAGCTTAGATTTATTAGATTTCTTGGTTTTATGTTTTAGCTTAGATTAGGTTCTCGTTTTTTTTTTTTTTTTTTTTTTACAATACATATTTAAATTAGGCATTTCTATAATGTACCCTACGCAATGCACTCGCACTTTGAGCGACGCCCAACCAAACTCTTAATTAAGTTTCTGAATCGGTGTTTTGTCGGTAATTAAAGCGCATCAGCAGGCAAAAAGGAAACTTATAGCAGACTTAGTTAAGAGTTGAGAGCTAAATAGCTTAAACAAGATTTTACACATGGCCTTTTGCGGACTGCTAGGCGTTCTTTCTATATATATATATAAATATTTATATTATACGCAATAAGTATTACGATCAAATGATATTGCAGGGATAGTTTGGTGTACAGCATAGTGTGCCAGTGTGATGTCTCTTAGGTATTAATCAATTTTCACGGCACCATAGATTTTCAGTATGAATATATAGGCAGCAAAGAAGCCGATGGAGCCGGTCAACAGCCAGAATGTTAGCACCATGAGACCTAAAAAGGAATATTTATTATTTAAACACGCCTTTTAGTTGCCCACTTCGTCGCGCACCTGTGTAGCCCAAGTAAAGTAGCGTGGGTATAAATTCTGTAATCTCCAGCTTGGTAAAGAAGTAAAATATGCTATAGAATAGCACATACACAGCCGAGCCACCGGAGACGATAAAGCTGCGCCACCACCAACGATAATCCTGCGTAGATGAAGCGTTAACCAATCATGATTTAATTAAAGTATTGTATATAGCATTACCTCGCCGCACAGCTGAAAATATGTCATGACAATCGATATTTGACCGCAGCTAACAACCAGAATACAAAAGACTAAAAACAGAAATCCAAACAAATAATAAAACTGATTTTGCCAAATGGCTGTAAAGACAAAGAAAAGCTCAATAAAAACGGCGCCAAAGGGCAATATGCCAGCCATAAGGGTGCTGTGGAAAGAAAGACATGGTTAAGCATCGCTGCAACTAATTAAGGAGCAGCTAACCCACCTCAAAGCGGCATTCATGTACCAGTGCTGAGCGGGCACCTGACGTGGTATCATGTTGGTGCGCACTGGATGCTGATACGGCTGCTTGCGATAGCCTAGGTAGAAGCCCAGGTATACCAGGGGCACAGAGATGCCGAACCATAGCAATAGCAGCGATATCATTGTGGTAAAAGGCACAGCGCCGCTCGAGGACTTGTCCCAAATGAAGAAGTTCAATATGAAGCCAGTGCTGTAATGAAAATTGAAAGCCTTAATAAAAAACAATTTGCAATCACATTGAGGCATCAAACTCACCCGAAGACAATGCCAGGATAGAGCGTGGCTGTTAGGAAGGCGGCGCGCTTCCACTCACGCCCCTTCATCGTCTTGTAGAGCCGCGCAGCATAGTAGCCCGCAATGGTGCCCATAAAGACATACATAAAAATGCCTGAGGTCATTAGAGCGCCGCGTGAGGAGGGAGAGAGCATGCCCAGCATTGCAAAGAATATGGTAATCATGGACATGAAAAAGATTTGAATGCCACTGCCAATTATAGCGGAAAACAGGCGCGTATTTTTGGGCGGACGAAAGACGTCGCCATGCACCAGTTTCCAGCCGGTCTCCTCCAGCGTATCCTCGATGTTATCATCCGTGTTATATCGTGCAATGTCGCGCCTCAATGTGCGTATCATAATCATGGTGAGTATGCCCGACAAGAAGAAGACGACTACCAGCGAATTGATAATGCTAAACCAATGGATCTGCACATCACGCATGCCCAAATAAATATCCCAGCGTGAGGCCCAGCTAACCTTGGACTCCTTCCATACGACAGAGTACGTGAAATACAGCTGAGTTTCGCCCGAAGGATTAACCACCTGTGGACTCGGGCTATCCGGAAAATTGCAGCTATCGCCCTCAAACTTGATCTCCTTATTGCTAACAGAACCAGTTATCACCTCAAAGCCAACGACGCGATATTTATCCTTAGTATACATGTGATAGGAGAGTATGAATTTAAGATGATTGTTGATGTACATTTTGTCGCCATCCACTTGGCCCAATCGGTAACCATGCTCATAGGTAACTTCGGCGGGATTATTGACATTAACAATGCGCGTCGCCACCGGTAAATTGTCCACCAGCAAATGCACAAAATACTCGTGTTGTATGCGCTCAGCGACCATGGACGAATCCTCTTTGCTCCAGGTCATGGGCAAATCCTTCTTATTGCACAGAAGCTTGCAATTGATGTTCTCTGCCATTTGGACCTCGTACGGTGTATTGACAATGCGATCGCCACGCAGCACCTCGCCCAAATTCTCCGACTTGAAAATGAGTGTGCCATTCTTAGGATAACAGAAGCGCAGCGAATAATACTGATACGGCAGCTGTGTCCGGCTACTGGTCATTTTTACCGCTTTCACATCGATTTTTTGGCCACGCACAAACTCAACGGGCGCCACACCGGGCACATAAAAGCAATCGACAATGACGACAACGCTGCTACTGGCAAGCAGCGCCAACATCACCGTCCACTACAAAAAAAAAAAAAAAGAAAGAAAATGAGAACATAAACAAATGCGATGAGAAACAATTGATTGCGTGTCTCTTTTGCCAACGTTTCGTTATCGGCAACTAGCAGCTCACTGCACTAAGTACTTGCTTTTTCTGCTGCAGTATGGCGCCAGACTTACCTGCATGGCTGTATGCGGGTTAAAAGCCTAAATGATATCCACTAAATGTAGTTATAACTAAAAATTTGCCAATTTATAACTAGTTTATAAAAAAAAAATATATTCTCTATTCTTATTGCCTCCTCTAGCTTGCAATCGTCGTCCGCTCAGTGTTGCGCAAGGCTCGAATGTTGTATTGTTCAATAACATTTGTAGTCTGGTATTTTTTCTGTTAATGTCAATTCAGCAGCTGCAAAATTCAAATTCAAGCTTCATAAGTAAATAAATGTATTACTTTAGTTGCATGATTATAGCTTTATAAAATAAGGAATTGGTGCTTGTAAAAAAAATGTAAAATTTTGATACATTAATATTGATATTTTGACGAAAGCTATGCAATAAATGCTATTTTTAATAACAGATAGGCAATATGTTAAATTACGAGCTGCAGCGAACTAATTGAACAGCCATTTGGCACTAGTTCGTTCCATTTAGTTCATTTAGTTTAACGAGTCGTTTGAGCGAACCTATTCCAAGCGATTCGATACAAGCAAAAAATATGTGTCTCAAATAGTGTTTAATGCAAATCTCATTAAGTTTTAGCTTCTTTTAGTTTTGAATATTGAAAGCAAACCCTTAACGGTTTGCTCAATTGCTGTGTGTGTTTGCCAGCTCAAAATATTTCACCTGCGTCTACGCTTACTGTGCACTGCTGTTTTTTGTTGTTGTTTGTTCCACTTGTTTCGTGTATTTGTGTGCAAGGACGTTGCTGGGACGCTGTTTACGTTGTGCTCGTCCTTGCTGGTGAAGGCGCAACAATTAGAACGCCCAACAAGGCGGGTGAGTCGGTATGTGTGTGTGCGTGGGAAAATCAATAATAGTCGAAAAACAAGAACTGCATACCTTGTTTGTGTGTGCGTGTAGATATGCGTCTGTGTGTGAACAGTTGTAGGTGTTGCGTACTAAACTTTCTTTTTCTACGAATAGCCACAAGCAAAGCAGTCAAAAAATACCAAAAATAAAAATACCAAAACTATAACTTCGTATTATGGAAAATACGCACAATGCTACAGTCGCCTCCAACGCCG